CAGCAATCCTTCCACCTCAGCCTTCCAAGTAGCTGGAATTACAGGCATGCGCTACCATGCCCGGCTGATTTTTTGATTTATTGTAGAGATGAGGTCTCGCTGCCCAGGCGGGTCTCGAACCCGCGGGCTCAGGCAATCCACTCACCTCAGCCTCCCAAAGGCGCGGGATTACAGGCTGAGCCACCGAGCCCGGCTCTGTTATTTTCTATAGGCTTACATTGATTTATTTCTCTTCATATCACTTTTATTATTATTTTTTTTATTTCTGAGTCCACGTCTCATTCTGTAGCCCAGGTTGGAGTGCAGTGGCACGCTCATGGCCACTGCAACCTCAACCTGCTGGGCTCAGGCGATCCTTCCGCCTCAGCCTTCTGAGTAACCGGAATTACAGGCAGGTGCTATCATGCCCAGCTTATTTTTTGATTTATTGTAGAGACCAGGGCTCACCAAGTTGTCCAGGCTGGTCTCAAACCCCTGAACTCAGGCAATACTCTTGTCTCGGCCTCCCAAAGTGCTGGGATTACAGGCTTGAGCCACTGCACCCGGGCTCATATCACTTTTAATACCAGACATATTGTATATTTGTTTTTTGCTTATCTTTCCCACTTGAAGGTAATATCCATGAGGGAAAGAACTTTACTTTGCTCATTGCCTGGCACTTAGTACTGTGCTTGGCTTAGAACAGACACTTGAGACATTTCTTGAATGAATGACTATCCCAGTTTTCCTACTAGATTTGGTTAGATTATCATATTATTTTTTTTTTAAACTAGGTTTATGTATGTTATAGCTAAGCATGTTAGTGCTGGATGGATATTATAGTTTTCTGTCATAATTCACCACTGTATTAATTAAGTTATTATCTAATAATGATCTCTTCTGATACACTGTAAACTGCAAAAAGGTACGAGTCATATGTTGAACACTGTTATACAGTCATCCCTTGGTATCCACCGAGGACTGGTTTCAGGATCTACTTGGATACCCAAGTCTGAGCATACTCAAGCCTATGGTGGGGCCTGTGGAACCCATGGATGTGAAAAGTTGTTTCTTCCTCAATGTAGGTTTCACACCCTGGAATTTTGTATTTTTCATCCATGTTTGGTTGCAGATGTGGAACCCTCTAATATGGAGGGCCAGCTGTATTTATTGAAAAAAAAAATCAGTGTATAAGTGGACACATGCAGTTCAAACTCATGTTATTCAAGGGTCAGCTATATACCCATAGTCTAGCACAGTGCAAGGCCCATGGGGCTCAGTAAGTGTTGAATGAATGAAACATGGATTTTGGCTTATAAGAAAATAAGTCTTGCAGTAACTCTGCTCATTGTTTGTCTCTTATGCTATTATCATATTATGGTTGACTGAGGTTTGCTATTTAAATTTAAATTAAACAAATTTAAAAATTCAGTTTTTCAGTGACCCTAGCCACATTTAAAGTGCTTGGTAGCCACATGTGGCTAGTGACTACCATTTTGGACAGGACATATATAGAACTTTTTCATCATCGCAGAGATTTTTACTGGGCAGTGCTGGACTGAACATTCTGTGAAAAAAGAGGACCATCATGATGTCAGTCCATCCTGGGAAGGGGACAAAGGAGGGATATTTGCCATTGTGTAATGGTAAGTTAATATTTAGTTTTGAAAATGTTTATTGACTACATCTACAGAGATGAGTATGGGTACAATGGGAGCTCTCAAGGAAGAAAAATATCCAGCGGGCAGCAGGGCCCAGATGTAAGATAAACAGTGAATTTAGAAGTAGCACGATTGAAAAAAAAAATAAGAGTATGGAATGTGGGTTGGAAAGAGTACAGGAAACGTATCAGAGGATTTCAGAGTACACAGGATTGATTTCTTACAGAAAGGACTCATGATGGTTTCCTGAGCTTTTTAGAAACTTCTTGATCTTTACTTAATTGAGGTTCCCACTGCAATTTGCACACATTTCTTTTTTCTTTTTCAATTTTTTTTTTTTGAATTGGAGTCTCACTCTGTCACCCAGGCTGGAGTGCACACTCACCACCACTGTAGCCTCAACCTGCTACTCAAGCAAGTCTTCCACCTTAGCCTTCCAAATAACTGGAACTACAGGCGTGCACCACTATGCCCAGCTAATTTTTTGTTTTATTGTAGAGACGACGTCTCACCAAGTTGCCCAGGCTGGTCACGAAACCCTGGGCTCAGGCAATCCTCTTGCCTCAGCCTCCTAAAGTGCTGAGATTATAGGCTTGAGCCACTGTGCCCAGCCTTGTAAAAATTTCTAACAGATCAAAGTAACAAAATGTGGAATTTGTAGAGTTAGAAAAGTCCTTGGTTAAAACCTTTGCGCTCTCTAGCTGTGTAAATGTGTGTCTCAGCTTCCTCATCTGTACATGGGGGATAATAATTCTTACCTCATAGAATTGTTTTGAGGATTAAGTGAAAATCCAAGATTGTGCCTGGCACATAACAGCTTCTCAGTAAATGTTTTCCTCCTGTGTCAGAAGAATGGCTCCATTATCCTCTATTTTGGGGGAGGGCCATACTTCGGTGGCCCTCAAGGATGGCCCTAAACTTGTTCAGCTATTAAGTGCTGCATATGGCATACCTTTGGGAAAAGCAGGACAATTAAGGAGCTGTTGCTCTGGTTAAGTTTTCTCCTATAACTTTCCCTATAGGTAAATTGGGTAGAATCTGCAATTTTCTAACACTCATTGATGGTAGTGGCATTCTAAATTGCAATAGCTGGAACTGGAGCTCTGAGTTGAGAGAAAGGTCTGTCTCATGCCCAACTACAGCAGACACATCCAGTTGATGGAGTAGGCTCTGGAATCAGACCGACCTGGATTTAACTTCTCAAACTTACAGTTCTGTGAACTTTAGGCTGGATACTTCACCTATCTGGCCTTAAGAAATGAGAATAATACCAGTACTAAACCTAAAGCATTGTTAGGAGTATCAAATGAGTTAATATTAGCAAAGCAAGAACATGGTAGGCACCGTATGCCAAATAATTAAATACACAAAAATGGGGATAACCTTACAAGCTTGATGCGAGGATTAAGAGAGATAATACAGGAAGGCAAGTACATGGCAAGCGCTTAATACATGCTATTTTTATGTCTGCAAACTGACTCAAAGGAGGGGTTGTTAAGAAAGACAGAGGGGCAATGTGCGCGATGATCTATGACATTCAGTGAGAAAGTGTGCAAGGGACCATTTGGGACTAGAATTCAACCAGGTAAGCGGTAGAAAATCATAAATCATTCCACGCGTTCCTGGAAGAGCACTTCCCCCAAATTGTGTAGAACCTGGCTCGTTAAGGATCGCAAGCTTTTATCAAGTCGGCACTTCGCTGGAAGCCTGAATATCTCTGTCTGAGAAATGGGGGCCAGGACCCAGACAAGACACGGGTTCCTGACTTGGGAACCGAGCATCTCCGGCAACAGCCCAGCCAGCACTCTGAAGTCCGGCAAAAAACGCCCCTGGGGGGAGCCTCCTCGGCTCAGCGGTTCCGGGTTCGCGACCAGACACGCCATGTGACGCACGCCCCGCACCACGTGACCCAGGCCGCAGCTCCGCCCCGCTCCCGCGCCGCGCACCGCTTCCGGTAGGGGGGTAAAGCGGAAGTGTGGGAGGGTCTGCGGGGCGGGCTCGGGGAGGTCCGGGAGGAGGATGGAGCTGTGAGTGGATCTGGGCGGCTGCCGGTAGCGCCATGGAGACCGTGCAGCTGAGGAACCCGCCGCGCCGGTGAGGGGCCACTGGCTCAGGGAAGAGAGTTGCGGAGAGGGGAGGGAAAGGCAGGGGCTGCTTGAGGGGCGACGCTTGTGTAGGAGCCCCGAAGGGGAAGCACCTGCGGGCGCGGCGACCCAGCTGATGGGGGACCTTCTGGGGGTGGGGGCGTCTGGCTGGTGGAGCGGGGTCCGGCGGAGGGGAGCACCCGCTGAGGGGGATAAACTTGAGGCTGGTTAGGGGGAGCACTCGTTGTGGGGGGACTCTGCTGAGGAACGTGGGATCAAGTTAGGGAGAGTGCCTGCTGAGGCCGGGGCCACTCGGGGAAGGTCCTAGCAGGGACTCGGGGAGGTGGGGGGAATGCTGAAGTAGGGTGAGAGTCTACGCGTTAGATGGGTCTTTTTAAGGGGATAGATAGAGAACTAGCAGAGAGGAAGGCTGGGTGGACTTTCTAAGGGTCCTAAGTCCCACTTGAGGGGTGCAGTGGGGGAGATGATGTGTTGAGCCTAAAAGCTTCGCGCCTAAGGCTGAAGGCGGGCGAAGAAAGGTTGAGGTCTAACCCGGTAGGGGTTCGTGGCTACTAGTATTTGGGGCGATGCTCTTGGTGGTGTCCTAATTCTGTGATGATTGCATCTTTTATTACTGATGTCCAGAGCGTCTTCCTAATTTGTCTTTACATCCTCCTTAGCCCTTCAAAACCTGACATTGTGAGGTAGATAAGGAAATAAGGATATTTTCAAACAGGCAAACCAAGGTCCAGAAGAGTTGAAACTCATGTGTTTTCTTCTTTGCTCTGGGTCACTGGTCCTGGCTAGACTGAGCCCTTTTCAGACGTCTTTTGTTTTGTAAACACCAGCTCCAGATTTTAGTGGTACCCGAAATTGCTTTAGGTCGAGATCAGGGAGGTGGCTAACCCTAGAAAGTCTAAACTGAATTGGTTGTAGCTGTATCATTGATATCCCCCGTGGACACCCGAGTCTTATGTCACTCTGCCACATCTGGAGAGAAGCAGGGAGTAGAGACTGAGGGAATCGTACTTCTGTGAGGTGCAGTGTAGTTAACTTCTGTTGCACAGTCTGACTTCCTGCAGCAGAATGAGCACTAAAGTAGGAAGTGTTCAGTGTGTGGGAGTGTGGGCAACCCAGAGGCAAAAGGGAGGGATTGACAGCCTGGACAGCACTCTTGGGGCTTGTTTGAGCTTGAAGGTGTTTGAAGTGCACAAACATTGTAGAAGGTAAATAGCTGGTTGGGATGGACTTCTGATTCACCCTAGTGTTGTGTGCTGAGATTGTAATGGTAATGATTATTACATTGATATAGCACTTACTGGGTGCCAGGCATTGTTCTAAGTGGCTTCCATGTCTCCAGCTGGAGCATATGAAATTGTTTATATTTCACCATTTTGACCCATAAAAATGGTAATTTCAATGTGGTTCAATTTATTGTTTCATTTGATTGTCACAGCAGTTCTGTGAGGTGGGTATTGCTGTGTCTCTGTTTCACAGATGATAGAACTGAGGTACAGAGAAGCTAGTGATTTGCTGGGGGACCCGTAGCAAGTAAGAGGTCGAGCTGGGATTTTAATATCCAGGCGGTCTGGTTCAAAGTCCATGCTCTTAACTGCCTCAACTGATACCTCTCTGGAAGCACCCCTGTTTCACAGGTCTTTGTGTATGTAGTGGATGTTTGCTATAGTACCATAGTGATCCAATTATTAATGCATGCTGATTCTGTTTTACATTTGTTCTTTCTCCTTTTTTTTTTTTTCCTGAGGCCTTGGTCTAATGAAAAGAGGATTAGGAATCTGAGTTTTGTTTTTCCCTTTTGCCTTGTGTTGTATAATCTTGGGCAAAGGAGTAAATCTTCTGGACTTGCTCATTCCTGTACTTTTGTATTATTAAAAAATGTACTGAAAGTATAAGAGAAAAGTATTGCGTGACTGAGTTGTTGAGTGACCACTGCTCATTGTAACTAATAGACTGCCTAATTTGCAGCAGATTAACTTTATTATCATTTGTATTATTTTGTTAGGGCTGCCATGACAAAATATCACAGACTGGGTAGTTTAAACGACAGAAATGTATTTTCTCACAGTTCTGGAGGTTACAGGTCCAAAATCAAAGTATTGTCAGGTTTGTTTCTTTTTTCTTTTGAGTTGGGGTCTCACTCTGTTGTCTAGGCTAGAGTATAGTGGCATGATCACGGCTTACCACAACCTCGACCTGGCACGTGCCACCACGCCTGGCAAATTTACTTTATTTTTTTTATTCCACTGTGGTTTGATAATGTACATGGAAAGATTTCAGCCTTATGGAATTTGTTATGCTTGATTTATGGCAAAGGATGTGATCGATCTTGGAGTATGTTCCATGTGGTGATGAGTAGAATGTATATTCTGTGGTTTTTGGGTGGAATAATCTGTAGGTATCTATTAAGTCCATTTGGTCGAGTGTCAAGTTTAGGTTCTGGATCTCCTTGTTGATTTTTTGTCTCGATGATCTATCTAGGGCTGTCAGTGTGGTATTCAAGTCCCTTGCTATAATAGTATTAGAGTCAATATCTTAATTTTCTTTATTTTTTGTTGCCCAGGCTGATCTTAAACTTCTGGGCTCAAGCAATCATCCCATCTCAGCCTCCCAAAGTGCTGAGATTACAGGTGTGAGCCACCAGCCTGAGGTTGTTTCTTTTAAGGTCTCTTTCCTTGTCTAGTAGATCTGTCTTCTCCCTCCATTTTCATGTTCTTCTCTTTGTACCTTTCTGTATCCTAATCTCCTCTTATAAGGACTCCAGTCATGTTTGATTAGGGCCTACCCATAAGACCTCATTTTACTTTAATTACCTCTTTAAAGGCCCTGTCTCCAAATCCAGTTACATTCTGGGGTAGAGGGAGTTAGGACTTCAACATATGAATTGGAGTAAGTGGGGTAGAACAATTTTATTATCATTAAACAATTTCATCAGTTTATCTTATATATTTGTTGCAAATATCTAATTCTGTGTGGAAAGAGGGATAATTATATATAAATAAAATGAACTTTATAGGGGTTGTAAGATGGGGAAAGGTTTGAGAATTAGCCAAAACTGAGTGATTGCTTCATAAACACCGTTATTTGTGTTTGGAAAGATACAAGTGTCTGTTCAGAGATTCAGGGGGCATGTGTTTCCAACAACCCCAATGCAGGAAATGCTCTTTGTGTTCGTGAGTTTGACATTTGTGTGTGATAAGTGAATGATGACAGACTGGTGTCTTGTATAGGAGTCAATGATTTAATAAAGTAAGCTGTGAGTTGCCATTAGACAACAGTTTGGTGGAAGGTATGGAATGCATTCCTGGGATGCTGGCCATCCACGTGACCATCTAGCTTAGGAGAGGAGCATCTACCAGTGTTCAGTCCATGGAGGCTATATTGGCCAGGCTTATTCATTTATGCGCAAGAATTGAAACTGCCTAGGACCTGGGAAAGTCCCAGATAGAGAGCTGCATTATAAAAGTCAGGCTGTTTTAGTAATAGTGTTTGTTCTGTGAAGAGTCATGGTATAAAATATCATTATGAAGCTGGGCTTGGAGGCTCAGCCTGTAATTTCGCGCCTTTGGGAGGCTGAGGTGAGTGGATTGCCTGAGTCCACGGGTTCGAGAGCTGCCTGGACAGGCAAGACCTCATCTCTACAATAAAATAAAAAAATTAGCCGGGCGTGGTAGCGCGCGCCTGTACTTCCCGCTACTCAGAAGGCTGAGGAGGATGGATTGCCGGAGCCCAACAGGCCGAGGCTGCGGTGGCTGGGAGCGGCCACTGCACTCTAGTCTGGGCGACAGAGTGAGACTCCAACTCAAAAAAAAAAGAAATCATTATGAGTCACTTATCAAAAGATTTTTCACAGAAATTTTATTTGTTGATAACCCCCTAATAGGTGAAATTCTATTTTTTTCGATAACTCACAAAGATTGCTGATGAAGGTTATGATTTCCATCATTACGTTTGTTAATCCATGTAGCAAAAAAATTTTTTTTTTTTTTTGAGAGAGTCTCACTCTGTTACCCAGGGTAGAATGCATTGGCATGATCATGGATTATTGAAGCCTCCAGCTCCTGGGCTCAAGTGATCCTCCCACTTCAGTCTCCCAAGTAGCTAGGACTACAGGCAGGTACCATCATGCTTGGCTAATTTTTAAATTTTTTTTTTTTTTTGAGTTGGAGTCTTACTCTGTCACCCAGACTGGAGTGCAATGGCTGCTCCTGGCCACCGCAGCCTCGACCTGCTGGGCTTCAGCGATCCTTCCGCCTCAGCCTTCCAAGTAGCTGGAACTACAGGCGTGCACTACCACGCCTGGCTAATTTTTGATTTTTTGTAGAGATGAGGTCTCGTCAAGTTGCCCAGGCGGGTCTCGAACCTGCGGGCTCAGGCAATCCACTCACCTCGGCCTCCCAAAGTGCTGAGATTACAGGCTGAGCCACTGAGCCCAGCCTTTAAATTTTTTTATAGAGATGAGGTCCCGCTATGTTGCCCAAGCTGATCTCAAACTCCTGGCCTCAAGTGATCTTCCTAGCTTGCCCTCCCAAAATACTGGGATTACAGGCATGAACCACTGCACCTGGCCTAGCAAATATTTTTTTTTACTACTTCTTGGTTATTATGCACCAGAGATGTAAAGTTTCCTTAAGTTTAAGTTGTTTAAAATAACCCAAGATCAAAAACAAGCAAAAGCCCACTTAGATTGTTTTAAAGAAGTATCTGAGGAGTCATATAAAGTTTGTCAAAGTATTATCAGAGACTTGCAGCTGTCTCTCTAATGGCAGTGGCAGTTTCCTTTGTTATGTTGTGGTCTCTGTAGTAGTTGAAATAGTGAGTTTTGCTTTTTTTGTAAACCACGAAGAATCAACACTTCAAAGAAACACATTTGATCTTCCTTTATGTAAGCTGTTTATAAAACTTTAATTACACTTGAGGAATGAGGTATTGTTCATTGTTTATACAGTTATAATTCAGGACTTGACAGAAAAAACTCTGGTGTATGAGATGTTCGTTCTAACTTCTGAGTTCATAGAAATTTAGTTCCGAAGTTTAAGACGAGTTTCACTTCATCTCTTTGTTTTGAAGGTAGGAGTTTTTATGATGTCATTGGAATTTACTTTTTAGGACCTTTTGATTTTCAAAGGTCACTGGTCATTTTGTTTTGTTGATATTTAAATCATAGCAATTGACTTGGAGCAGTTCTCCATTTCTCTACCACAGAGTCCTTGGTACTTACAAACTTCTGTAAGATTGTCTTTTTGAAACCAGTGTTCATTGGTAGATACACTTGATGTGGTCAGAGTTGATTTTGCTATTTTTTTTAGGAAGGGGTGTATGTGTCTGTGTATGTATTTGTATTAACTAAAGTCTATTCTTATAATATTGATATTGTCCGGCTAGTTTAATTTTTTTCTTTACAAAGAAATCACCAATGTGACTACTTCCATATTTCACCATTTCCTGAACTCTCTATTCTTTGTTATTCTTTGCAGTTTCAGGAAGCCATTGTGTAGACGACACACACACACACACACACACACACACACACACACACACACACACACGCCCGTGCACATTTCACACATGCCTTAGCAAGCTTATTTTTTAAGTTCATTAATAATTTTCAGAGGTCTCAGTTAAAAAAATATTGTTAATTTATAACCTACCATGTTTTTTATAGCATAGTCAGAAAAATCTGAACTATCAGGAAGTTGTGAGCAGCCATATACCTTTGATTTTTGGGGCTAGTCAAAGGAAAATACTCATGGGAGAAGGGTCTTTATGAGACTGTTGAAACTTCCAGCTGCCTCATTCTTTTTCTTTTTTTCTTGAGTTGGGCTCTCATTCTGTCACCCAGGCTGGAGTGCTGTGGCATGCTTATGGCTACTGTAGCTTTGACCTGCTGGGCTCAGGTGATCCTTCTGCCTCAGCCTTGCGAGTAGCTGGGACTACAGGTGTGCACAACCATGCCTGGTTAATTTTTTGATTTATTGTAGAGACGAGGTCTTGCCATGTTGCCCAGGCTGATCTTAAACTCCTGGGCTCAGGCAGTCTTTCCAAAGTGTTGGGATTAGGCGTGAGCCACCGTACTAGCCTTATTTTTCACTTTTGATCATGTCTAAGTGTACACTTTCTAGTTTCTGTTTCTGTGATGCCTATAGAATGTGTTTTGATAGAATTACTACAAACTTGCTAATGAGAGCAAGGTTCTTGTGTCTTCCTTGGCCTCCAGTCCAATTCATGGTTATACTTTGATTCCCAGTTGACTGTATATTAAACATTTTTTCTGAAGAGATAGTCTCAAGATTTATATAGATATTACGTGATATACTTAATGTTTGAATCTGCTCTATAGCATTCCAGCCACGTGACAATTCACTTTCTGTTTAAATTTTCCAGAAATGGACAGCTAGGGACCTCTTAAGGTGGTCTGAATCAATGTAGGACAACTTTTATTATTAGAAAATTCTTATACATGTTGAACTGAAGCCTGGCTCCTGGTATCTCTCTACCTGTGGTCCTGGTTTTGCTCATCAGGGTGACCTAGAACAAGGGTAACTTCCATAGAACAGTTCTTTAGTGTCCTTGAAAAGTCTCTTAGCTTGCTTTTATTTGCTGGTGAAGACTTTGTAGAGAAATTTCTGGAATACTAATTGTAAAATAAATGATGTATTTTATGTTCTAAAATAAGTAAAATGTATTTTGTGTTTATATTTCTTTATTCACAGGCAGCTAAAAAAATTGGATGAAGACAGTTTAACCAAACAACCAGAAGAAGTGTTTGATGTCTTAGAGAAACTTGGAGAAGGGTGAGTGTTAAGAAAATACAAGTAGACTTGTGGGTCCCACTCTTTTTCTTGTCCTAGCACTTGAAGTATATGATCCTTTCTCACAGTAGTAATTCTCGAACTTGAGAAGAAAGAGGAATGTTGCATATCAGCATGGTTCTAGTTGGTGTGGAAGGTAAACTTACAGCTTGAAATGCCCTTTCCTACTTTATCCCAATTACTATTATAAAAAGATTTAGTGATTTCTGGTCTTTTTAACACGAAGGACAGCTATTGTTTTCTTTTTTGTAGAATCTGTGGTTTGCATGATTTTTTTCTGTTTAACAGCACTAATTAGGTTGTAACGCTTTAAAAAATTTTTATTTGCTAATACTAGCTTCTGATTGGTATGCAATAGCTATTTTAATAAAAAAGTGGAATTCAGCATTTTAGTTTTTGCAGCTTTGTGAATTATAGTAAGTAAATTAAGGACTTTCACCACCTTATAGCTTTCTAGGAGATCCAAAATCCCAGGTTTGGAACCAGTGGACTTCTTGAAACACAGATTTGTGAATGAGTTTATAAAATACAGATAATATGATAATAGTAATAGGCAATGGCCATCATTGACTTACACGAGTCAGAAAAATTTGCATCATAATTTTTTATACTTTTACATATTCTTTTAATTTATACTGTATATTTATTAATTCTTCTGTAATGACCAGGGCATTAAAATATTAGGGATCTTTTCCTTAAATTTTTGTTGTTAATTTTTGAGTGGGTAATTATATAATTCAAATTTAAAAGAACACTAAAATATATACAGGTAAAAATATGTGCCCTCTACCTCTGTCTCTCAGCCACCCAGAAGCACCCAGTGTAGTAACTTCTTATGTATTTTTTAGAGATAGGTTATGCATATATAAGCAAATACATGTATATATTTGTATATGTGTATGTATATTTAATCCCTTCGGAGTACTTCTGGCTTAAGAGAAGCCTTGACATACTAACTTTTAAACACATCTGGGAAAAAAACCCGAATATCTGAATAATGTTTTTTAATAATTTAATAATGCTCTTTAAAATTATCTCTTATATGTCATTAGATTATTTTTCAGGCTTAGTGTTTTTTATGCCTAACACAGATCTGCAATAATATTAAATCCAATCCTGGATTTCATGGAATAGTTTTTCATGGTTTACCCCTTTGTAAAAAACATTAGTCATCGTCTTTTTGTAAGTTGGAGACATACTCTTTGTAATCTGGCAAGAAATCAAGCAGAGAAGGGAAGTAAAAAATGACACCAGCTGTGCTGTGAAAAGACAAGTCCAAGATGAATCTGAAGCTTGCCAGTTGACTGACATCATTAAAGGTATGGGGTAATGACAGTCCCTCTACATCTACATCTCTTGCCTGCCATTTTCAGCTTTAGCTTGGCATACTTGCTGTTTCTTCAAGTCAGTGAGTCTGTGGCCCTTGATCTAACAATGCTTATAGGTTATATTTGGAGTAAGATAAAGAGTGGGTTGGTTGGGCGTGGGGCTCATGCCTGTAATCCCAGCACTTTGGGAGGCTGAGGTGGGAGGATTGCTTGAGACCAGGAGTTTAAGACCAGCTTGGGCAGCCTAGTGATACTCCATCTCTACAAAAAATAAAACAAACTTACCTAGGCATGGTGGTGCATGCCTGTAGTCCTAGGTTTTTGGGAATCTGAGGCAGGAAGATCCCATGAGCCCAGAAATTTGAGGCTGAAGTGAGCTATGATCACACCACTGTATTCCAGCATGGGCAACAGAGTGAGATCCTGTCTCTTAAAAAAAAAAAAAAAAAGATAAAGACTGGGAGGCATAATTGACTATGTAGCTAACTTGCTTCTTTCATTTCTAATAAAATCATGTTATGATAGTAAGACCATAGACTTTGAAGTCAGGTGAATGTGGGTTAAAATCCTTGCCCCTCTGTTTATTGGTCATAATAAACAAGGGGGGGTCTCAGCAAATTGCTTAATATTTTGGAGCCTCACAGTCTTCATCTATAAAGTAAGGATAATAATAGTATCTACTTAATAGAGTTATGGCAAGTATTACATGAGATAATGGGGTAAAGTGCTAAGTATAGTGCTTGTCACATTGTAAGTACTTAGTAAGTGGCAAGTATTATTATTTTATTTAAAGTGTATCAACTGAAGCATTTTCAGACCTCATGTCAAATCAAAGTTAAATTTTAAGACTTAAAGTATATTTAGATGTTCTGACAAGTAACTTTGTTTGGGTTGATTTGGTTTGGAAAATGTCAAAGGAAAACTATAGATAGAATATATTAGAGATATAATGTAAAAATAAAACTAAGCTAATTGTGATTTTAAAAATTGTGTTTCAGATCTATGGATGTCTTTTGTAAGGAACATGGAAATCTCCCTATGAAGATATCACCAGAGAGAAAACAAAGCTTCAGATCTTTCTTCCCTTACAATCAGCTTATTTTTTATTTTTTAAGTTGAGATCTCACTCTGTTGCCCAAGCTGGAGTGCAATGACACAATCAGGGCTCACTGCAGCCTCTACCTCCTGGGCTCAGGCGATCCTTCTGCCTCAGCCTTCCAAGTAGCTGGGGCTACAGGCGAGTGCCACCCAGCTAATTTTTTGTAGAGATGAGGTCTTGCTGTGTTGTCCAGGCTGGATTTGAATTCTTGGGCTCAAGTAATCCTCCCACCTCAGCCTCTCAAAGTGCTGGAATTACAGGCATGAACCACTGTGACTGACTTGTTACTGCTTTTTTTTTTTGAGTTGGAGTCTCACTCTGTCGCCCAGACTAGAGTGCAGTGGCTGCTCCTGGCCACCGCAGCCTCGACCTGCTGGGCTCCAGCGATCCTTCCGCTTCAGCCTTCCAAGTAGCCGGAATTACAGGCATGTGCTACCACGCCTGGCTGATTTTTTGATTTATTGTAGAGACGAGGTCTCGCTAAGTTACCCAGGTGGGTCTCGAACCCGCAGGTTCAGGCAGTCCACTCACCTCAGCCTCCCAAAGGCGCGGGATTACAGGCTGAGCCACCGAGCCCGGCTTTGCTACTGCTTTTTTAAATGATACCACAGGTGCTTGGATTTCTGTCATTCTGACTGAATGAACCTAAGCAAGCCTCATTTAACTATGAAAATTCTGAAGGAAAACCTTCATTGCACTTTTTTCCAAACACGTACTGCTGTGCCTTCCTTAAATTGTTTTGAAGATTGAGTGGGTTATGAACTCTCACTGGCTATGTCTTGTGAAATGAGTTGTGGCGAAAAAGCTGCATTGGATTCTGGAGTCTGCAGTCATTCTGTGTTTTGAGGAAGTTGCATGGATCTGTGGCAGCGTAGAACCAAAACTCCAAACCAAGATGAGTGGACAGCACTTGGAAAGTGTTTTGAATTGGAGCCTAGACCTTTTTTTTCTTCTATTAAAGTTTTGCACATTGATTCATTTAAGTTCTTATTTAGAATGATAGCTAATGAGTGCTATTATTAAGACTTTTACCTGGTTAGTTTGGCCTCAGATACTGTATTTTATTTTCACCTTTCAACATAGATCCTTGCCTTGTATGGCTTATGTGAAACACCTACTTCTTCACCCTTTTTGGACTTTGCCAGTTGTAATTCATTGAGTTATTTCATTTTTGTGTAGGGAATCAGGTTTTAAGGAATTATTAGGCTGTGAGTATGATTGCTGAAGTCTTCTAACTCCTCTTCAGATTACTGTAAATGCAGTATATGGAGTCATGAATCTTAATTTCATATGCGCTTTCAGAGTTTTCTTTGCCATCAAGATAGCATCGGGAGGTATAGAGAGTGTTCTGGTCAAGGTTACTGAGTGAGTGCGTGCAGAGACCTCACCTTTCATTTCTTTTTTTGAGTCGGAGTCTCACTCTCGCCCAGACTGGAGTGCCGTGGCTGCTCCCGGCCACCGCAGCCTCAAACTGCTGGACTCTGGCGATCCTTCCGCCTCAGCCTTCCGAGTAGCCGGAATTACAGGCGCATGCTACCACGCCCAACTGATTTTTTGATTTATTGTAGAGATGAGGTCTCGCTGCCCAGGCAGGTCTCGAACCCACGGGCTCAGGCAATCCACTCACCTCAGCCTCCCAAAGGTGCGGGATTACAGGCTGAGGTAATGAGCCTGGCTTCATTTCTAATACATAAGAATAATGATTGAAAATTCCTTTTTTTTTTTTTTTTTTTTTCAGTCAGAATCTCACTCCACTGCCCAGGCTAGAGTGTAGTGTTGCACTCACGGCCACCTCAGTGTCGACCTGCTGGACTCTGGCGATCCTTCTGCTTTACCCTTTCAAGTAGCCAGAACTACAGGAGCATGCTACCATGCCCGGCTCATTTTTTGATATATTGTAGAGATGAGTTCTCACCAAGTTGCCCAGGCTGGTCTTGAATCCCTGGACTCAATCAGTTCTCTTACCTCAGCCTTCCAAAGTGCATGGATTATAGGCTTGAGGCACCGTGCCCAGCCTAAAATTCTTTTAAATGTAAAGATACATAGCCATGGACAAGGAATAGAAAAGAAATCTGTAATAATTAAAGGAGGGTAAAACATGGCCTATCCTTGTCAGATTGCATTTAGGCTTCCTTACATAAAATTGTGGGCTGAACCTGGCCCCCCATCTATGAACTACAGCTGAAATAAATTTGCCATACCACCACTAGGAAGTATTATTTATATGTAGTTTGGGGAAAAAGTGGAAATACTGGTCTGATAATAGGAGTGGAGTATGGGCTGTATACAGGTATGGTATCTTGGAGGGCAAAATCCCAGATTCCTAATATAAGACATGGTTTAAGTTGTACAATCCAGATGACTGCTGAAGGATCTATGAAACCACCTGACAGTGAATGGTGTGTAGAGGAAAATAATTTTGGATAAAATGAAATCTATACAAGGAAATCCAGTGCTGTGAGACAATCAGTAGAATGGGAGAATTCATACTCAAGGAAATAAAAATAATGGAGTGTTATGAAAAGGGATTTAACATGTTTGTTTATGATTTTCAAAAAGATAAAAGGAAGTAATAACATTCCTAAAAGAAGAACACCAGGTGATTAATATGGAAAATTAGCCCAATGGAAAATAAAGGGCGTCTTGACAATGAAAACTACAATAATTCAAATTTTAAAAGCCCAATAAATTGGATGAACAGTAAACTAGAACATCTAAAAAGAATTTGTGAATTGAAAGATAGAAATGAGACTGATCACAAAATGCAGAACAGAAAAAATACAGGACTGTAAACTAGGGAGTCGACATGGATTGAGGAGGTTCAATATAGGTCCAATTGGAATTCTAGAAAAAGACACTAGCAACATAGAGGAAATAATCAAAGAGATAATGTTGAGAGTTTTTCTTTTTTCTTTTTTGAGTTAAAATCTCACTCTTATCCAGGCTGGAGTGCAGTGGCATACTCACGGCCACTCCAGCGTTGACCTGCTGGGCTCCGGCGATCCTGCCACCTCAGCCTTCCAAGTAGCCGGAACTACAGATGTACGCTACCACTTCCAGCTAATTTTTTATTGTAGAGATGAGGTCTTGCCAAGTTGCCCGGGCTAGGCTTGAACTCGTGGACTCAGGCAATCCACTTGCCTCGGCCTCCCAAGGTGCTGGGATTACAGGCTGACCACCAAGCCCAGCCTTTTTCTTTTTTTTTTTTTAGAGATAGGGTCTCACTCTGTCACCTAGTGGGCTGTAGTGGCACAATCATAGCTCACTGTAGCATCGAATTCCTGGGCTCAGGAAATCCTCCTGCCTCAGCCTCCCGAGTGGGCTGGGTCTACAGGTGCATGCCACCACACTCAGCTAATGAAAAACAACAACAACAAATTATAGATGTGATCTTGCTCTGTTTCCCAAGCTGGTTTTGAACTCCTTACCTCAAGCAGTCCTCCTGCCTTGGCCTCTGAAAGTGCTGGGCTTATAGTTGTGAGCCACTGTGCTCAGCTGAGAATTTTTCATACTTGAAGAAGACATTAGCCCTCAGACTGAAGAAGCTTATAAAGTGCCAAGAAGCCGAGCTCGGTGGCTCAGCCTGTAATCCCGCGCCTTTGGGAGGCTGAGATGAGTGGATTGCCTGAGCCCGTGGGTTCAAGACCCGCCTGGGCAGCGAGACCTCATCTCTACAATAAATCAAAAAATCAGCTGGGCATGGTAGTGCATGCCTGTAATTCCGGCTACTTGGAAGGCTGAAGCGGAAGGATCGCCGGAGCCCAGCAGGTCGAGGCTGCGGTGGCTGGGAGCGGTCACTGCACCCCAGTCTGGGTGACAGAGTGAGACCCCAACTCAAAAAAAAAAAAAAAAAAGTGCCAAGTAAATCAACTCCTAGTTCTATAAAATTGTAGACTGTTAAGAATATAGCGAAAATCTTTATCTTTAATAGGGATTACCCATGAAAATGATAATCTGATGCAAGTAGACTTCTCAACAATAGATGCTGGAAAACTGCATTAAAAGTGCTGAAGGAGGCCACGCACAGTGGCTCATGCCTGTAATCCCAGCACTTTGGGTGGCTGAAGCAGGAGGATTGCTTGAACCCAGCAGTTTGAGACCAGTGTAAGCAGCATAGTGAGACCTCATCTCTATAAAAAAAAAGTTAGCTAGGTGTATCATGTACTGTAGTCCCAGCTACTTGAGAGGCTGAGGTGGGAGGATTGCCTGAGCCCGGGAGATTGAGTCTTTGCCACTGCATTCCAGCCTGGATGATAGAGATATTCTGACTAAAAATAAACAAACATAAAAAATATATATGTATGTATTGCTGAGTGAAAGCTATTGTCAAAAAAATTCTGTATCTTGCAAAACTATCCTTTCAGTATGAATGTGAAATAAAGACATTTTCAGACATGTGGGCCCCGGTATATCAAGAATGCCTTTGGATGGAAGTAACAACACCAAACTTAGAGTGGCTAAACAATGAAGGCATTTAATAACCAAATAATCTAGGGGTGAGAGATTCCAGAAATGATTAATTGGCTTGATAATGATTTGATATTTGGGTTATCCTCATAGTCTCAAGATGGCTACATTAGTTTCAAGCATCATCTCTCACATTATAGTAACCAAAGCAAGAAGGGAAGTGGCAGGTGGCAATTCTTGTGTTTGTCTTTTTTTTTTTTGAGTTGGAGTCTCACTCTGTTGCCCAGACTGGAGTGCATTGGCACACTCCTGGCCACCGCAGCCTCGTCCTGCTGGGCTCCGGTGATCCTTCCGCCTCAGCCTTCCAAGTAGCTGGAACAACAGGTGTGCACTACTATGCCCAGCTAATTTTTTTGATTTATTGTAGAGATGAGGTCTTGCCAAGTTGCCCAGGTTGGTCTCGAACGTGCGAGCTCAGGCAGTTCACTCACCTCGGCCTCCCAAAGTGTTTGCCTTTTAACAGGGAAGAAAGTCTCCTAGAAACTCTTCAGCAGAATTCCCCTCAGATTTCATTGACCAGAACTGATTACTATGCTTGCTACTTGTTGAGTTACTGGTGGAAGGGAATAGGAATCTTATGATTGCCTTGGATTACCATGATATATCTCTGGGACCAAGCACATCATCACCCTAACAAATCAGAGGGTTGTTTTAGCAACAAAGCAGGGACTGTGTTTGGGTCCTTCACACATGATCAGATATGTGGCAAATGGTCTCATGGTCTAATCTTTGCCTCTCTCTGGCAAAAAAAGTATTTGATACCATATTTAAGGATCATCGTACTAGTTTTTCAATTATAAGAACTTTTGGAATGGAAATTTTTAAGTGTTCTGCACAGACTTAAAAATAGCCATATGTTACTTTCAGAAGCAATGCTTGAGCAACTGTTTGGCAGCTAGAGTGTTTTGTTACTTTGACATATTAGACGGTACTGTTCAGTTGGTGAGGCTTCATTTCTACAATAAATCAAAAAATTAGCTGGGCGTGGTGGCGCGTGCCTGTAGTTCCAGCTGCTTGGAAAGCTGAGGTGGAAGTATCACCTGAATCTAGCAGGTCGAGGCTGTGGTGGCCATGCACATGCCACTGCACTCCAACCTGGGTGACAGTAAGACTCCAAGCCAAAAAAAAAAAAAAAAAAGTGGCATTGTTATTTTGATATTTTTCCATCAAGACAATATGAAGATACAAGTGTGCTTGGAAAACAGTATTATTTCACTAATAGTTGCCCAGGCTTGCAATGCACATGTGATCTATGTAAGGTGACGATGACGGTATCTCACTTGACCGTCACAACTGTCTTATTAGGCAGTTTGTATTGTCATTTTACAGATAAGAAAGTTGAGGCACAACATGGTTAATATTGTGTCTATAAATAATATCTAATAATGTAGTGGTGGTAGGACTCAAATCTGAGGTCTTTACATTCTAAATCTAATGCTCTTGTAGTCTACAAATTGCATGGATACATAAACTTTATTTTGATAATTAAGCTCTTAAGGGAAGATGATGTAGGAGGCAAAAATAATTTGCATGTGCTGTGCTTACATGTTTAATATTAATTAAACAGGCTTAGTTTTAATTTCATAATATTTTAAGCATTATTGCAAGTAAGAGGAGCAAGGACAGAAAGATCATGCGGTTCTAGAGTGAATGCAATAAAACAAATACCTCCACTTCCACTTGTACCCCAGTGTAGATGTGGAGAACACACAAGCTTTGTTTTCAGACATACCTGGGTTCAAATACTGATGATGTATTTATCACTTATATGAGTTTGGACAAATAATTAACCTCTCTGAACCTTTTTATATTTACTTGTATGATAGTGAAAATCAGCTGGGTGTGGTGGCTTATGCCTGTAATTCCAACCCTTTGGGAGGTGGAGGCAAGAGGATTGCCTGAGCCCAGGGGTTCGAGATCAGCCTGGGCAAACTTGGTGAGACCTTGTCTCTACAATAAAATAAGTAAATTAGCCAGGCGAGCTGGGGGGAGCCTGTGGATCCAGTTATTTGGAAGACTGAGGCAGAAGGATCACCTGAGCCCAGCAGGCTGAGGCTGTGGTGGCCATGAGTGTGCCACTGCACTCCAACCTGACATGACAGCGAGACTCCAACTCGAAAAAAAAAAAAAGATAGTGAAAATTATCCCTTTCTCATTTTTTGTAATGAATTGAGATGATATTTAATTTCTAGCAGACAGCTGGCAGGCAATGCATAGTAGCTAGTATATTATTTCATAATAATACATTTATTAAAGTTTAAGTGTGAAGGTTTCAAGATCTCATTTTTGGTAGTTCTTTTGACAGTTTTTTCCCCAAAAATATTTTAGCTATTTTAGTTGTTAAGTATATATATGTATTAGGCATTTAGAGATACAAATTGAAACTGTAAGTTGTTGGTGTTTTCCCATTTCTTGTTTTTTATTTTATTTTTTGAATAGGAGTCTCACTCTGTCACCCAGGCTAGAGTGCAGTTGCATGCTCATGGCCACTGCAGCCTTGACCTGCTGGGCTCAGGTGATCCTTTGCCTCAACCTTCTAAGTAACTGGAACCCCATGCCACCATGCCCATGCCACCATGCCCAGCTTATTTTTCTTGATTTATTGTAGAGGCGAGGTCTCGCCAAGTTGCCCGGGCGGGTCTTGAACCCTTGGACTCAGGCAGTTCTCTTGCTTTGGCCTCCCAAAGTGCTGGGATTACAGGCATGAGCCACCATGCCCAGTGCCATTTCTTATCTCTTAGCTTGCTTTGACTTTATAAATATTCTCCTTCCCCCATGTATAGGTCTTATGGCAGCGTATACAAAGCTATTCACAAAGAAACGGGTCAGATTGTTGCTATTAAGCAAGTTCCTGTGGAATCAGACCTGCAGGAGATAATCAAAGAAATCTCTATAATGCAGCAGTGTGACAGGTAAAGGCATGTGGGCTTCCTTTGTAGAGAACATGGTTTGAATTTGTTGTGATTATTTAGAGTTTGACATGTAGCCGTGTACTTACTTAGATATTTTGCAGAAGGAAGAGTTCAGTGGAATCACTATGCATATTCTTTTCAGAAAAAAATATGATTAAAAAGTTTTTATACCTAAACTTATATAGTATCCATTTCTGCATAGTTTTTTTTCCTTTTTCTTTTTTTCAGTATGCCCTTTTAGAAACTAGGAAGAAGCGGCAGAAGGTGGTGTTTGCTTTTTTTTGTTTGTTTTTTTGATAATGATCTCTTTTACTTCCTATTAAAACATTTCTGCAGAGATAGCTGAGAAGATAGAACTCAAATGCTTTTTAACTCTAGATACCTTAGGATATCAGTTCCATGAAAAGAGAATATTTATGTATTACTGTTTCTTTCTTCACATTAAAAAGTCATTCAAGCTAAAAGTAGTTAAGTGTTTTATTATTAAGGAACTAAGATTTGTCAAATGCTGTAAGCAGGAAGTTAGGCCAAAAGGTGACCACAGAAAAGCACGTGGTTTGCTCTGAAATTCCGTGACAACATAGGTTGGTCACTGTGACAGAGCAGTCTCCCCAGCACTATTTAGGCTGAAAGAAACACAAAGTTAGGGGCAATGCCAGCTCTAGGTAACTGAAAAGGGGGTGAGAAATTATCACAGTTGAGGCTGCATTCATGTTTCTAAAGCCTTTCCAGTCATCACATCAACTTAATGCCCCCTACTTGTAAAATATCGCCATTAGGGTAGATGGGGCTACCTACCAGGAAATTAGTCCAAGGACCCTTAAGTGTCCCAAACTTGGAAATGCAGCCATTTCTTTCCTCCCTCCCTCCCACTTTTTCCCTTTGTGGTTATTATCTACTAGATAAAACTCCCATTTTTCTTTTCTTTTTTTTTTTGAGCTGGAGTCTTATTCTGTCATGTAGGCTGGAGTACAGTCGCACACTCACAGCCACCCCAGCATCAACCTGCTGGGCTCTGGCAATTTTTCCACTTCAGCCTTCCAAGTAGCCGGAATGACAGGCATGGGCTACCACACCTGGCTAATTTTTGATTAATTGTAGAGATGAGGTCTCACCATGTTGCCCAGGCTGGGCTCGAGCCTGCAGTCTCAGGCAGTCTTCTTGCCTTGGCTTCCCAAAGTGCTGGAATCCAGGTTTGAGCCACCGCACCTGGCCCCATTTTTCTTTTCTTTTTTTTTTTTTTGAGTTGGAGTCTCACTCTGTCGCCCAGGCTGGAGGCCAGTGGCACGCTCATGGCTACCCCACCATCGACCTGCTGTGCTCCAGCGATCCTTCCACCTCAGCCTTCCAAGTAGCCAGAACTACAGGTGTGTGCTACCACGCCCGGCTAATTTTTGATTTATTGTAGAGACGAGTTCTCACCAAGTTGTCTGGGCTGGTCTCAAACCTGCAGGCTCAGGCAATCCACTTGTGTTGGGATTACAGGCTGAACCACCGAGCCCGGCCCCCATTTTTGTTGATTGGATTGACCAGATGAAGGTGGCAGTTTTCCTTTTTCTCTTCTATGAGATACATTATGGAAATTCTTTTCAAGTGCCGAACTGGGACTTAGCTGGTTTAGATATACTGTGTAGGAGCTGCGTTCCAAACACAGTATAGAAGCATCTCTAATTGAAGAGATATTTTGCTGAGTAGGCTCAACTCTATGCTAAACATTGTAAGGAATACAGTGAAATACAGAGCAGAGTCCTGGGCTCTGGGATTTCATAGACTCTTTGGACGGGGCAGGCATACATATGTATAGGAAAATCTAGCTAAAAATAACAAGACTGTATAGAACATATTCCAACAGGAAATACCTGATAGTAATTGCCTATAGTATTTGACTCCTATAAATACTGTACTACAGGGAGAGCAATATATGTATATATAAATAAATAAATAAATATTTTTTCCCTGCTGTCCTTGCCATTGGCATGTTTCTCAAAGATGAAGGAGTGTTTGAAATTCTGAGAGTCAGTTTGGTTTTAGCATCTTCAGTTGCTATGCAACTTTATTGGCCCTGACCTAGCCAATTATAGCTGGTAACTCTCAGAGGGTGGATTATTTAGTTTTAACGGGTTGTTTGATTTTTCTCTGAAATTTCTTGATGTCTCTTCTCAAGCATGAATCTTAAAATTCCACGTTTGAGCCTGAAGATTTTTTCTTTATAATAAATTGTAGAGTGTGTGTTTTCTTATAAAATACATGTAACATAGACAAATGCAAATGAAAAGAAGAAAAGAAAATCACTTTTCCCTTTGGAGAAATCATCATTGTTAAATACTGCTTGAGATACATATTCTTCCAAAAAGCCTTTGCCTTTTATTTTTTTTATTTTTTTGTAAACAGGATATCTTATATTATCAAATATTTCTCTGTAACATTTTTTATGGGTTCATGATATTCCATTATATGGCTATATCATTATTTCTTAAATAAACTCCCTAATGTTGGATGGACATTAGATGGTATATAAATTTTCGCTTTTACCAACCATAGTAACTTTCTTTTTGAATATTTATAATTTTTTTCTGAGGATAAATTGTAGACCTAAGAAATGCTGGTTAAGGGGACCACCATATTTTGCACTTTTGTTATTAAGCTCCAGAAAAGATATACACTTCACATTCTTATCAGGAAGTTGCCTGTGTTACCCTTAACTATGAATAATTGATCTTTTGAGATGAGGAATTAATTTTCATATATTTAATAGCATGAATTAATGGAGATGTTTGAAGGCTATTCTAGTAATTTGTATTGTTTCTCTCTAGCCCTCATGTAGTCAAATATTATGGCAGTTATTTTAAGAATACAGACTTATGGATCGTTATGGAATACTGTGGGGCTGGTTCCGTGTCTGATATCATTCGATTACGAAATAAAACGGTAAGTTTACTTTCTAGAACTTTGCAACTGAACTAGTCTCTTAGGCCTCTTTTCTCTGGTTTCTTATTCATGTGTATTCTTCTGCCATGTCTAGAGAGATGACAGATTGTCAGATTTCTCCTTTTTCATGGTTCTTTCTCCTCTTTACTCTTTCATGTCTTCTTAATGTGGCAGTTTCGATACCACCTCAACCCACTCTGGGCTGTGTGAATCTTCCCTGCCTGGCTCATAATAAGACTTATTAAATATCGATTGATTGATAGTATAATACATATTTAGCCATGATGCCTTATATCACTTGGTTTTCTTGATATTCTTGAAGGGTCACTGCCAGGGAAGGGGGTGGGGAATATAACAAACACTAATAAGGGTACCTGAACCCAAACCAGGTGAAGTGAGGACCAATGAGAGGCCCAAACTTCAGCAGTATGATGATCATGTATGTGCCTAATCCTGAATTGTATCCCACATCTTTAAAAAAAGTTGTATTCCTATTTTATAAATTGAGAAGCTGAGATTAAGAGATGCTCAATAACTTGCTTAAGTTACACACAAATAGAACCAAGAGTAAAAGAAAATAAAAGTGATATTTAGAGTGCTTTGCTTGTCTCTTACTGGGGGAGAAATGACTAACAAATTTTGACTATAGAATGAATTTTAAGTGTTCAGATTTGGATTTGGATTTTTGCTTCTACCTAGCATATTCAAAGATTAACTTTCTCTACTTCTTATTAATTAGGGAACAAGCCCATTATGAAAGATTATTTGCTGTTACTGTGGTTGCTGGAATAAGATCTAGGAGTCATGAGTTCTAGGTCTCGTTCCGTTGCTTAATTTCTTTATTTATTCATTTAGTAAATATTTGTTGAACACTACTTTAGGCCTTAGGGATCCAGTAGTAAATAAAACAGATGGCAACCATGTTCTCATAGTTGTTCACTTTTGCATAGGGCAACAAAAAGCAAATTAAACGTAACTAAAAGAAATGCCAGGTAGTGATAAATGCCCTGAAGAAAAGGAATGAAGATGAAGTGAGGGTAAAGTCCTAGAGTGCTTGGTGGCTACTTTAGAGTAGATTGTTGAGGAAGGTCACACAGAAAAGGTGACATTGGAAGTAAGACTTGAATGACAGGAAGGAACTCAGACTCCTAAGGGAACGTTTTAGGTGGGGAATAACCAGAGCAAACACCCTGAGGCTGGAATGGGCTTGGCATGTTTGGGTAATAGAAAGAAGGCCACTGTGACCAGAATGGAGTAGACAAAGGGGAAACTGTAGGAGGTGAGGTTAGACAGTTGGGCAGGGCTAGATTATGTTGGGTATTGTAGACCATAGGAATGAATTTTAATTTTATTTCAAGTGCAGAAATCATTGCTGGGTTGTAAGCAAGCGAGTGAGTCATCTTATATATGTTTTAAAAAGATAACTGAATTCTGTGTAGATTGTGGGTAAGTAAGAGAAGCAGGGAAAATCTTAGCCTTTGGCTTTCTTGTCTTAATAAAAAAAGTAAGAATAATAATACTCATATTAAATATTTGCAAGGTTGTGAAAATTAATTTAAATATGAAAAAGTACTTTGTAAATGGTAAAGTGCTATTAAGTAATAATGAGGGAGTATTTTAAAACTTACTTAAAGATTATCCATAGACTAGCTCCCTTCTTAATTTACATTAGTCAGAGTTAATGCATTTTTCTAGTCAAATAACAAGTTCTTTAGCTGGGAATTATGTTCTAACATAAAATACACTCAAAGAAATCCCCAAACATTAATAATTTCTTGAATTAAAAACTGGGTTTCAGCCGGGCTCGGTGGCTTAGCCTGTAATCCCGCGCCTTTGGGAGGCTGAGGTGAGTGGATTGCCTGAGCCCGTGAGTTCGAGACCCGCCTGGGCAGCGAGACCTCATCTCTACAATAAATCAAAAAATCAGCCGGGCGTGGTAGTGCATGCCTGTAATTCCGGCTACTTGGAAGGCTGAGGTGGAAGGATCACCGGAGCCCAGCAGGTCGAGGCTGCGGTGGCTGGGAGCGGCCACTGCACTCTAGTCTGGGCGACAGAGTGAGACTCCAACTCAAAAAACCAAAAAACAAAAAACAAAAAACTGGATTTCAGGGCTTTTTACATGTAGCATTAAATTATTTTGCTCAGCTATTTAAAAACAATCCATAAAACTATATTTGTCGCTCCCTTTATATTTTTATTGGGCAGTGCTACTTTAATGGATTAGCTCAGCTGGTTAGGATAAAGAGTCAGTAAGTCATGTCATGAGCTTTGTTCTCTTTGGCCACATTAGGTACCCCAAACTAACCTACTGCTTTGGCAGTAGTGTTTGCCTGGACTTCAGGGAAAGCTCTGTGGCCACTGGCACAAATTATTTAACTTGTTCATCATATATAAGATGATTTAGTTATAAGAATCAAATGAGATTACAGAAATAGTGTTTAGTATAGATTAAACACATAGAAATAATTATTTTTGAAGTTATTAGCATAGTATCTGGCTCATAATAGATACTTATTAAATACTGATTGATAGTATAATAAGTATTAAACTTTGATGCCTTACATCACTTGATTTTCATGAGATTC